ATATTTCACTGAAGTCGTCAATCAGATTGCTTCTCTTTATCTTGTGTTTGTGCCAAATGTAGCTTAAATTTTTGTTGCTTAGTGGTAAAATTTGGAATATGTTGCCTTCTACACGTGAGTTCGAATTGAAGTTGTCACAAGTTCAATTTTCTTCTTCCTTCAAAAAAAATTGCACAATTGGTCCTTAAACGTTAGCACATATAGCAAATATATCCTCAACCTCTATAATCAGACTTTTGAATCCCGGCACATATAGCAAATATATCCTCATCCTCAACCTTTTCACTAATGACATCTTGAATTACAAGACTATCACTGGAAACGCTTGCTATGACATCTGCTGTAGAGGACACATGCAAATCAAAGTAGCCCACGTCTTGCCTAAGCACTGCTTTCAAATAACTTGTTCTTAGATGTGAAGCCTGTCGTTCTGCTGTTCTTGTCCAACAATAACCTTGTAGAGAAAAACAAATTTAAATTTGATTCAATTTCAAACCTTCCTTGTAATTTGCTCATCTAAGGGTAAAAGGAGACCTACCAAGGAAACAAGCAAAAGATTGCCCACAAGCCAGATAACAGAAACCCAATGCATTCTGTCACCAAAAAAATCCAATTCCAGGTGACAATATTAGCATGGCATGAACTATACCAATTCGCAACTTCGACAATTAGATTACTCAAATAAGGAAACAAACTAAGATAATTTGCTTAGCCACTTACATTGTAAAAATTGTGATTTAGCTTAAATTACTAGAATGATAAATTTATACACTTCAAAACGATGTTCCATAAATTCAATTCTAGGTTTCATTATTTATGAAAGCAGTCTATATCAACAACAAAAATGTCGTTTTCCTATGCTTTTTTTAGTTAGAATAAGTAAGTCTCCCCTTGCCTACTTATTTATCCTTGGCAGTAGGAATTGGATAGCTCTCCCACAAGCCCCTTTTCACGGTTTAGGCTGCTCCCATTTATTATGAATATCACTTTTGCTTTCTTTACTAATGCTTTAGAATTGCTTCGCTCCTATAATCTTAATTAATGTGAAAGCAGTTGAGGATGTATTTGACTATTTGCTATAGGTGCCGGGATTCAAAAGTCTGATTATAGAGGTTGAGGATATATTTGCTATATGTGCTAACGTTTAAGGACCAATTGTGTAATTTTTTTTGAAGGAAGAAGAAAATTGAACTTGTGACAACTTGAATTCGAACTCACGTGTAGAAGGCGACATATTCCAAATTTTACCACTAAGCTACAAAAATTTAAGCTACACTTGGCACAAACACAAGATAAAGAGAAGGAACCTGATTGACGACTTCAGTGAAATATTTGAAAATTGAGGCGTTCTCAGCACCAATATTGTTCATCAGCTTTGCAGTGATATACGTCATTAACGGAATTGAAATTCCATCACCAGCTGCTCCCAAGAATCCCATGATCATCAAGATAACATCAAACCCATCTGCATGACTGAAAATTGACCAAATAGAACTATTCTTCTTCATATTCATTTTCATTCCCAGTTTTGTTATTTTCCTATTTGGGAGCAGCAAGGAGAATTTCTACTCTCTCTATCTTTGCTTAGTAGAGACACTTGCTGTCTTGAATAAGATTGTAAAGAAGGGTAATGAGCTTACCGAATCTGGAGGGGTTTTTAGTAATTTCATCCAATGGTTTATATATGTCAGCATAAACAATTTTGGTACCATAGGCATAGCTTTCCATGACCTTCAACTTTGTATGCAACTGCTGGTTGTAATCAACTGCAATGGAGGATAATGATTCAATGCATCCACGACTATGGAATGCATTGCTGGGAGTGAGGGTAATTACAACCGGCAAGCACCCCATTGGTGGTAGTCCCACCAAAGCTATCGTTCGAGCTCCTTGTTCCAATAAACCCTATGTACAATGTACATCAATGACACTTTGAAAAATCGGAAACATCTCTCTTATGTTAAAAATTACAATAACCTCACCCATTTCAAGTTTTGAGTAAAATATATTCCTCATCGATCATTTTATTAGACAGTTTATTTATTTATTTATTTTTGTGATGTGTGATTTTTTTAAAAAAAATGTTGAAATACCTTAATT